GACTCATCACGCAGAGGTCTGTAGGCACTTATCCACATGTGTTGGTTTGTCCTTGGCTGGCTGCTGGTCGCCTGCCCGCCCAGACACTCTCTCACTCTCTGGATTTGATGGGGGGGGAGGAGAAAGTAAGATGAAAAGATGCTCAGGCATCAAGATAAAGACAGGAGATCACTTACAAATTACCATCACAGGCAAAACAGACTTGACTCAATTTATTGCCAATTAAGATACAGTTGGATGGTGAGAAACAAAACCACCTTCCCCCAGTCCCCACTCTTTTCCCCAGGCTCAACTGTACTCTTGCATTCCCAACTCCCCTACTTTTTCCTGAGCCTTGACCGGTGCAGAGGGAATGGGGGATTGCAGTCAGGATGTAACACTTCCCCTTGGCTGCTCCTTCATCTGCACACTTCTGTACTCCAGTGTGAGCCCTCCTGGGGCTGTTCTTCAGGATACTCCTGGTCCTGCATGGGTCCTCTCTGGGCTGCAGTTCCTGTCAGGAGAACCTGCTCCCACAGGGGCGTTCCACTTCCCACAGTTCCTTTAGGGAATATCCACCTGTTGGGGTGTGGGGACCTCAGCAGGCTGCCATGTGGGTATCTGCTCCATCGTGGTCCTCACCACTGGCTGCAGGGAGATGCCTGGTCTCTCCAGGAGCTGCAGGGAAATCTCTGCTCTGGTACCTGGAGCCCCTTGTGCCTGTCTTCCTCTCAGGGCCTGGTGCTCACAGGGCTGCTTCTCACATGTTTTTTAATCTATCCTGTTGTGTTTTGTCCTTTCTTAAACACATTTTCATAGAGGTACCACAAGCTTCTCCTGGGCTCAGCCAGGTCCTGCTGGAGGCCTGTTGTGGATCTGGCTGGAACCAGCACAGGGCAGCCCCTCACCAGCACCTAGGTACAGACACCAGTGCACTGAGGTGTCTGCATTAGGAGGGCGTGTCACTGGAACCCCTCTTTGGTCAGTGGAAAAAGAGGGGCTTCTCATGATGGCAGTCCTGCTATAGGTAAAACTGATGTGTGCTAAACAACACAGGTCCTAAAGCTTCCTGTGGGGTGGGATCATTTCTCTAAGTACAGTGGGTGGGGTATACAGCAGAGCATAATTCATGGAAAGCTCTGCTTCCATAGCTCTAGTGGTTCCTGATAGCACCTTTTATGAGCAGAATTTTTATCCGATCAAAGGGCCTGATCCATCATCACTGAAATACTGGATGCACATCATTTGGGCTGGTATAACATCTAGACCACAGCTAGGTCAACAGTCCATCACATGCCTTTGAAGTGGACAGCGTGGGGTTTTTTTGTAATCTTTTATTTGGCCTTGTTTCACACTAGAAGCAAACATATGTGACACAGCAAAACATTATTTGGCTTGAACTCTCTTATTTGGCATATTTAACATAAGTGATTGCTTCATTTATTTAGCAGCATTCATTATAAATTAGCAAACCTGCACAGATAAAGAACAGAGAACAGTATCTGCAGTAACATGCCTAAAACCTCTCTTTAGTTTTGCAGTGGTTCTGGCATTTTCCTGTGTGGTTGCACACTAATGCTTGTGCATTTTCATGAGCCACTTCTACGTTTATATTGTGTGTTTTCTTTCTTTCCTTTTTTTTTTTTTTTTTTAAGGAATTAGCTAAGAGGACTCCCTCTAAGCATCCTGATCACCCAGCTGTCCAGAACGCACTGCAGGCAATGAAGACAGTCTGCACCAATATCAACGAGACCAAGAGACAGATGGAGAAACTGGAAGCCCTTGAACAGTTGCAGTCCCACATTGAAGGATGGGAGGTATGATGTAGGACTAGCAAGCTCCCTCGAGGCAGTTCGCTGCGCAGTTTAATAGGCTGAAGTTTAGTGACTCATCCTGTGTACAGGGATTTCTGTTTCTTACATGATGTGTAAGTGCTCTTGAAGGTGTGGGCAGCATCACTCTGATGAGTTTAGGATTTAGTGTTTATTTTGCATGTGCAGGCCACTGCAAAATTGTCGCATAACAAACGGATTATGAAAGAAAGAAAGGTGTTAGAGCCAGAATGGACTGAAATTTCAAATGGGCATATCTCATTTGAAAGACAAATAGGTCTAGATAGATGAAATCAGGATTGATCTAAATAACAGAAGTTTCTGTTTCCATTCATACAAGCTGTTATTTTTTTCCATGAGCTTTGAAAATTAGCTCACTTAGCTTCATACAGACTTCCTGTATAAAACGTAGATTAGTAAGTATTAGACTAAAAAACAACTGGTATATTTGTGTTTGTTCCAGTTAAGTTACTCATGGATGTGTTTCCAGTGATGTGTTTATCAGTAGGTGGATTGGTGTAGGTAGAAGCATTTACTATGGAAGGGAGAAAAATAAGAGGTAGAAAACTAGAATGTGAAGCTTAGGGGAAGAGGCAATCTGGAAAAAGAGCCACTCAGTAGAAACAGTGGGAAGTCAGGGTGGTGTGCAGAGGGTTGACAGCTTATCTTGTGATGACGACAGCTGAGGTCCTTGAATCAGGGGAGTTGGAAGCCTCTGGGAGGTACACTGTAGGGAGGCAGTGGTGTTAAATGGCCTCATGGAGAGAATGGTGTCGGCATTCAGCGAGACTGACATTTAAAATGTCGAGGCTGATCACTGCCAGCTGAAGATTTCTTAGCTGAGGACATCTTGTTAGAGGTCATGTAAACTTCCTCATGTTCGGACTCTTGGGTCCTCTCCATGACTCTCTTTTGGGTTGTTTTTTATCTTTCGTGTATGTTTTAAACCTTGCTCATTTTTTCCCTGAAGGATGTTCTTGGCATCCAGCTAAAGACATGAGAACAACCCAGATATCCAGCTGTGTATTTTTTGGATAGCAAGCTCGACAAACAGAGTAATACAATGTTCTACATAGCAAGACTTCTAGACACAGTTAAACCATTTCAGAGTCAATGCAACTCACAGCTCATGTAGGCAAGAGGCATGGTTTGAACTCTGGAGCCTGAAGCATGACTATAAAAGTGTCCATGATGCCATAAATGAAGTGGTGTCCAAACTTATTCCTTTTTTTTTTAGGGTTTATCTTATCTACAGCAACATTCTGGGGCTGAAAACCCTTTCAGATCTGTTTATATATGATGTTTTGTAACAAAGTGACCTAGGTCACTCAACTCAAAATTTCAAAAAGGAAGAAGTGATTTTTCCCTCCCAGTGAGCTGGAGAACATTTCTAAATTATTCTAGTGGTCTATTAAAAGGAGGAAAACTAGCTTTATGCAGCACAGATACATGGTAGTGCTCAACATAATGGCATTTTTTCTTCTGTACATGTAAAGAAGTTTGAAACACATTGATAATTTCCTGTCTTGGGTTTCTACAGTTCTAGGGGTCTTGTAAATTATTACTCTAGAGAATAGTGCTATGTTGGTAAATAACTGGGTTTAGTTTTCAGATGTATTTCACAGTGTATTCCTCATGTGAAGGGCTCCTAACCTGTCTATGGAAAACTGCAGTTGCTGAATTAAATAAAGTTTTAGCTTAACAATGCAGTGATTTTAGCCACAGAGCTGACTGTAGGACAAGGTCTGTAAGGCAAATTTATGCCTACTCTTAGTTTGTCTGATGGCAATCTCTCCTATGAAATAGAAAATTTCCCTTTCTCATTAGCATGGATATGGATTCTGAAACACTGGTTCCCTGTGTATACAGTTGTATGCCATACATGCTACTTCGACAAGGCCTGTGGCTTCCAACTGTTCTAATCCAAGGCTTCCAAATTGTCAAAAAGAAGTGAAGATCAGCTTCCTTTTGACCAAGAATTTTACAGTTACAAGGGATGTAGCCTGAGTCTATGGAATGTGCGAGCAGCCCAGCATGAAGTTTGGCATTAATTTGTTCACATAATTTGGAACAGGCTCCACCTTTTCTAATGTTTTTTTTTTAACCAAACCAGCAGTTTCACTGGTTGCACTTCTTCCATCCATCCTAATGGATCACCTCCCTGGTCTGTTCTTCATCATGTTGCCATCAGTGCCACCCTCAATATTTCCAACATGAAGAACAAGGCAACATCATTTTGGTTCTGCAGTGTCTCTTCTTGCTCTTAAGAGTCGTCAATAACTTCACTAAGAGCAGTAGTGTTTTTTAGAGCATATTCCTCAATTCAACATGTTTTCTTCAGCATCTTCCCCTACCAATCTTCATTTACCTCTAACACCACTGTCATAGACTGAGCATGTACTGGCATCACCCTGCCAGTCTCTTTCTGAGACAGATTATGATGAGGGGACATGTTAAATTAGGCCGAGCACGGGAAGCCGTTGAAGGCCTGCACTTAATCAGAGCTCTGCTCATCAAGATGAGCTCTACTCAGATTCATTCTTTTGGAATGCACAGAATCCATGTAGATATATGTTGCGGATTAGTCTCGGGCAGGTCAATTTAATTCTGGTTAATCCTTCTGGGAAACAAAGATTAGTTTAAGAAGAGGAGAAAGGGAAGTAGGGGATGCATGAGAAGGCTATCAGTGTTTTTGTCTGCTTAGTGAAGACCAAGTTAATATGCTGTTTCTATTAATACTGTACTGGTTTTACTGTGGGGAGAGCTGCTTCCCATGAGTCCTTGTGAATTATTTCTGCTGAGCAACTGCAACATATCCCCAGATTCTCTCAGTCTGAAATGCATAGGGGAGCAAAACCCCCCCACAGAACAGCATGAGTTGTAAGAGACATGTTAGTGCTTAGGCAGATCAGACATTTTTTAATTGGCTGTAATTTGCAATTCCACCAGCTATGATGTTTTCTTTTTCTTTTTTTTTTTCTTTCCCTGAAGCTTAGTCCCCCTTAGAAAGGTGAGAAATCCTGTGTTGTCTCTGAAAACACCAAATAAGTATTCTTACTCTGTTTCTTACTGTTAAAAAACCTCTCAAATCGGTGCAAATGGGAAGTAGCTAGGTCAACAGCAAACAGGAAATGCATCAACAGCATTTAGATATCATCATGATGGGTCTGATGGAAAAATAAAGATTGTAGGTTGAGAAGCAAACATAGCAATCATTTACTTTCACTTCCTGCACAAAATAGGTCAGATAATTTTACCCAGTGATTCCTGTGTAAGTAAAAGTTTGACTCCAGTTACTGATTGTGCTTATTGCTTTTGCTGTCTCTGGGTATCTTCTGGAGAATGAGGTGCTCGGAAGCCTTGATTTCTCCATGGGCAAACCACATGAGAAGCAAACTTTCGTCTTTGTACAGCCAGTTGGTTTCTGTTCCTATTTGTGCATGTGCGGCCTTTGCCTGCGATGCAGTGATTTCTCCTGCAGATGGTAACAGGTCATTTCAGACTAACATTTCTGGACATGTATTGACTCTTTCTATGGAATGATTAATAAGACAATAAAAACATATCAGGACAGCAGATGGAACTCTTGCATCTAGCTACTTTGTGCATCATTCCATCCAGAATGTATAGAAACACGTTTTTGGAACACACAAATTGGTGCTGCATACTTGGCAGCCTTTAAAAGGGCCCCATTTAAAGGACTGTACGATTGCTTTTCGTAGGAATACTCTGAGTAACAGTTTGGGGAATGAATGGCTTAGTGTGATCTACTGTAGTTTTCAGCTTCTGGGCATCCTCATAAGCTGAAGTGTCTTGAGCACCAAGCTCAGTTGTCTCTGGGGCTGTCTAGTGCATGTACTGGCTTGCACGCAACAGCTAGCACAGTGTGCCTGACCCAACCTCTGATTTTCACGGCTGTGTTTCTAACTTGCTTGTGTTTATGAGAACTCCAGTACCGAGGGCACCTGTGTGTGCTTCTTCAAAAGAGTTGGAGAGCCATAGCACCACTGAGATGATTTTGCAGAGAGATGGTTAATCGTGATGTATGTCATTATCAGAGCTACAGCGTTACGGATATACCATTATTCTTTTATAAAGCGTTCCTAAAGCCATCGCTTGTGATATTTGCATTGATAGGTCAGGGTATGAAGGGAGAACTAATGGCCTTGAGAGATTCATAATACAGCTGCTTTGAGAGTGAAAGATGTCTTCAGGAAATAGTCTCTGGAGTTTAATAAGGAAGGTTTAGTGTAGTGTATGAGGACTCCAAAAAAATATTTGTAATCCAGAGAAAACATGATGTGTTTAGGCATATTAAGAAATTGTGGGCTTCCTCCTTATGAGTGCAGCAGTTATTTCACAGTATAATGACATGCAGATAAAATGACAGTGTTTTAGTAAAAATTCTTCATCGCACATGCACACAAAAAGTTAAAAATAAACAATATATCTTTTCTATGTTTCAGGGGTCAAATCTGACAGACATCTGCACACAGCTTTTGCTCCAAGGGACTTTGTTAAAAATCTCAGCAAATGTTCTTTCTGTTTGATAATCTACTGGTCTATTGCAAAAGGAAATCCAGGTGAGTCCCTCTGTCTTTACGATTTGGTGGTGAGACCATTCAGAAGTTTTGTAAGTAGAAGGAGTGATCAGATAATGATCACTCACTGTATTCCCTGGTGCTCTGTAGAGCTGAGTCACAGGCATGACTTTCCTCCGTTCTTGACTATTGCTATTACTTATCCAGCGACTTCTTTCTCATGTAGTCTGGTAGGATAAATATGCCAGACAGTAATGGGGTCCACACCCTGAGAAGTGCGCAATCCAAAGACAGAAGTTGATGCAGCACAGAAAAAACACAGAGTGAGCTCTCGCAGCTGGAAAGCTTCCCAGAGCAGATGGGTCTCCAGGAGTGAAGAAATGGCCTTGCCAACTTTCATTGTGAGGTTATTCCATGCAGACGAGGGTGACGTGAAAAGTGATATGAAGCCAAAAAAGGGTAAAGTGGAAGACTAAGAAAACATTAAATAGATGCAGGGCACAGAGGAGTGAGGAAGAGAAGATTAGCAAGTTGCTGTTCAGCATTTGCAGCCCATGTGTCCTGTGCGTTGTCTGTCTTATCCTAGTAACAATTTTTGCATCATTCACCTCAAGAAACTTAAATGTTATTAACACCTACTGCTTACTGTTAAAATAGCTTTGGCAATGTGAAGGGCAATATGCTTCTACAGCAATTATCCTGTATTTCAGTTCTCAAGCTTTTCACTTTCATACATCCAGTCCCATTCTCATGTCTTGGTCTCTTCTGAGTTTACAATGCGTTCATACACTCCAGATTCTACTCCTACTCCCTTTCCTGTAATATCCTCTCCCTTCTTCACCTTATACTTGTTTACTGGTGATGGCCAAGTAGAATGACCAGCTCAATTAGAAATTCACAAAAAGAGTGTTCTCTCCAAAAAAAGTTCTCATATCTCAAAATTCGGGTTTTATCTCCCAGTTTTTTCTTAAGTGGATATTTTGGAACCATTAAGCTGGGAAAGAATAATTTCAGTAATGTTCAGACTTTTTGTGTGTATAATGCTGATACTATACAACAAATACAAATTATTTGTTCTAGAATGTTCTTAGAATGTAACAAACTTAAATTAAAAGGAAAAAATTACATAATTTAATCTTATACAGTTTCTAATAATATCTGACTGAAGCATTCTGACTGCTGAAATGAAGCAAAAATATGAAACATTTCATTTTGACACTTTATCAAATCTGTCAAAATCCATACTTCCATATGAAACAGAATGCCGAAATTTTTGTGTCTTCTAACAGAAAATTATTACTTACTACAAAACCCCCTAAACCAATTTGAGATCTAATTTTTTCTTCTTCAGAGCTCTTAGAAACTGGTTTTTTAGTCCTGTTTGTAGTTCAGGTTAGCCTAGCCCCTCCTGCGCTGTCCAGGCATTTTTCCTGGAATACAAAGATTTAGAAAACAAAATGTTCTTCTGCCTTTTAAGCAATGCTCTGTTTTTCTACGAGAGATATTATTGAGCTACTCTGTAGTTTGGCTTGATTCTGGAGGAGGCTGCTGTAACACTCTGATTTTCCCAAAGGATCGATATTGTTTATCTTTGTCTAATAATGTAGCTTGAACTGATGAAATGTCCAGGATCTGATTTCCATTAAAAAGTAGAATATTTTATTAAGTCTGCTGGGAGTTGCCTAATGTAAAAGATATATTTAGGGATTGCTGGGTGACTTTAATTTTGGATATTTCTCCTGTCTAGTTGCTATTTATAATTAGTCTAGTATGGAACTGAATGTCTATCCAATTGTGCTGGTTTGATCACTTGGCCAGCTGCTTGACAAACAACTGACATGTTAGCGGGACACAGATTTTGAAAAACAAACACACACCAACGAAAAAAAGCACAAACCCTCAAACCTGCCTGTGTCTGTTCCTAATTTGAAAAGGAATGACTTGGTTCTCATCTCATTTGTACTATGCATATCTTGTAGAAATCACCAGAGTTTTTCTTGATTGAAAAGTGCAATCAGAATTCGGGCCTCCATCTTTGATAAGTAGTCAACGGTGCAGGCACTGGAACTTGGGCATCGTATCTTTTCACAATAGCATAAATCAGGAGTAGCATTGTTGAGACCAATTTAAGGTGTGTTTAGAATCAGAATTAGATCTGTGATTTCTAGATCTAGGACTGCAATCGCATCTTCTGCAGAAGCTTAGGGAAGTCCAACAAACTGATGACATAGATTTTCAGGGCTCAATATTGTTTTGTGTTTTTAGCAGGATCACACTGCTGTTTAAATTGAATCCTTATGTAAGGAACAATATGTTTCATGTGGGGAAATGGGCTGAGCATTTAAAAGGTTTAACTAAGGCTGCCAGGACAGTTTTTCTTTGGACTCAAACATTTGTCTGTAGGAAATGATGTAATACCTCCAAGATCTCAGTCTGGTCAGTCTAATTGGATGTAAATATGTGACCATCACTAAAGGTGTATTTGTCACTGAAGCTAGTTGCAAAAGGAAAAATTTTATCATAGATATTTCACTTTGACAGAAATTTTCTCCCTGGCTGCTCCTTATTGCAACATTCTTTGAATCTTCTGAGCTCCTGGCACGTTGCCACAGCCATCCCTTCACGGCACAGTTTGGACACCTGCCATCTCAAATGATGATCATTTGACCAGTTGTGTTCTGGTTCACAGAGCAGGGTTGTTCTTGGATATTAAAGCTCAGCAGGTGTCAGCTGGATAGTTTTGAACCTATTCTAGACACAAAAATCAGAACATAACTTAGCAATGGAAAGTGTTTTCCTGAAATTTTCATAAGACACTTCAACAGAGACAATATAAAGCTTATGGATAAGGATGTAAACTTTGGTGCAAAATCACCACAGTAGCACCTTCACAAATGCAGCAACCAATAATATTTAACGTGTACACAGACTGTGTGACACTGGCCTTTTCATAGCTTTCATTTTGTACTTGAAACTTGGTACACAAATTTATGCAAATTTGTCAAAGCTTTAGGCGAACGAAGGAGGCAAATGTAACATTGTGTCAGGTGACAACGCAGCCTTCATCCCAAAGCCATGTGCAGTTCAGTGTACTGGCATCTCAATCAGTGTGTTGTCAAGAATGTCAATCTTGAAGGCATCCTAATCTTCACATAATCTTGCAAAATAAGCTCTTTATCGCTCTACTGACACTGTTGTACGCTTATCGTTGTGAGCTGATTGAGTATTCAAATTATTTAGAATCAGAGACATGGTCATGACCACAAAACCCTATATTGAGATTCATTTTAATAGTCATATCCCAGACTGATTTATGCATATGTATGTTGCACTGTTTGCTTATATGTGGCTAACAGTCTAACTCCTAATTACAGGGTTACTGGGAAAAAAGCATCTAAACGGACAAAGTCAATCAACGGGTCCCTGTATATCTTCAGGGGCCGAATAAATACAGAAGTCATGGAGGTGGAGAACGTGGAAGATGGAACAGGTAAGAGACCAAATACTGACTTAACAACACAGCAAGTCCAGATCTTATGTTGGAAGTTGGTACAAAAGTACTCGTCCATCTCCTTCAATGAAATCTTAAGTAAGCTGTGTAACTTCTGAGGCCTTTGCTATTTTACCAACTTACATACTTATATACCAACTTCAGTCTGAAATGACCTTCGGAATTGTTTGTGTACCCCAAAGCTTGTCTATTTTTTCTCCTAATCCAAGTTAATTCAGTAAAAGATACTTTCTCTTTTTCCTATCTTTTCTTTTCTCATGTCTTAAGCCATTACAGCTATAATAACAGAACTTCTGGATCATCCTCTCATTTAGCATACTACCAAATATTAATCTTAGCATCAAATCAGTAGCATGGAATGTGGCCATGATCAAAATATGGGAATGCAGCTGTGTTACAGTTCTTGTGTTCTGACACAGGCAGGAAGATGGCTTGGGTTTCTGATTTCATCTGCAAAGGCCACACCAGCCCCTGGTTCTATTGTAATGAGTCAGGAATTAATATTATGCCCTTTACACAGTTGACATCGAAGAGCTCCCATGTCCTGTGGACAAAGAGTGCAAGAAGGTAGCGTGTCCCCAGAAAGTTTAGAACAAATAACCTGAACAAACATCATAGACTTTTTCACTGGTGTCAATGTGTTTAAAGTATTTTAATTCTTCTGAGGGGAAGTTACAAAGTGTCGCTCTTAGGACCAAAGCATTCAGTCAGTTGAACAACCTAGCCATTGATCCTTCTGTTAATATTTGTACTTCCAGCGGGGTCAGTAACAACCAGTCACATGGTCAGCCAGTAAGACTGATGCCTGAGGAACACCTCCAGAAATCAGGCTCTTCAGAGAAGAAGATTTTAGTTAAGGGGTCCCACAGTGATTTGATTGAAGTAGCAGGCTTTCTGTTCACTGTGCATTGTGCTTTGGGTTTTCACAGCAGATTACCACAGCAACGGCTACACTGTGACAAATGGCTGGAAGATACACAACACAGCCAAAAACAAGTGGTTTGTGTGTATGGCCAAGACTGCAGAGGACAAACAGAAATGGTTGGATGCTATAATCAAGGAAAGGGAGCAGAGAGAGAGTAAGTGGATCATGGATGTTCTAATGCATTGAACGAACTTGTGTACAAAGGAGAAATGTATGTGCATGTGTATCTGTTGGAGAGAAAAAGAAGAGGTTGCACTTTTTCCTCCATGGGCAGAATTAAAATTGATCCCTTAATGACAAAGAAAATCAAGTGATTGAAAGCAAATGTTTCTGAATGTATACCTTGGGGGTTTTATGGACTTCTGTCACTGATTTATCAAATATTTCTATTTGCCAGAGTCAGTTTCTTGGATGCGTTAAATTACTGTAAAAAAATTACATTTAATCAATTCAATTTTTTGGTCTTTTTTGGTAAATAAGATAAAACTGTATTTGTATTTATCAGTAAAAGGAAAGAAGAAAATCCAGCGTTTAGCCTTATTCCATAGGCAAGGGCACAAACTTGTTCTCACAAACTCAGCCTCCAGAATCTTGAAACAAACTAAACAGTTCATGGAGAAAAACTCTAGAAATATTACACTTAAACTGAGAACAGTGACCGGTGTATCCAGATGCTTGTCACTTTTATCTTTTCTTCTGGAATGAAGCAAAATCTGAGCTTATTTTGAAATGATGTGCAATTGCAGCAAGCTCATAAAGCCATGAATCAGGGTGGGCAGTAAAAGTTCTGAGTTGCTTTAAAAGTCAGAACTTCTTTCACAAGTGAACCTGCTTCCCTGTTTGCTCAATGGCAGAAGTAATAGCTCATTTCCAGTGGAAATGACACTTTTTAAAAACATTCTGTGCCTGACTTTTAGAAGCGGTTCCCCTCTCTGCATCTCCAGTAAAGATGTAGTTGCTCGTCTACGCTAATATTGAAAGAGGCCACCCTGAAACCTGTTTTTGGTAGTGTGTGTTCAGAACTTGTACTTGATAAGCTTTAGATTTTTAAAGTATTTTAAGAAAGCTACAGATCTGTCACTGAAGTTTAATGAAAGCAGAGTCTAAATTCTTTAATGCCCTTGGTTTTTATGTTACAACGCATCTGATCCACTAAACACAATGCACATTGCAGTGTTATTTGTTACCGTAGCACTTGTCACGTATGAACCCCAATACCCCTTTTGATAATAGAAAAGGTATTCAAATGATATTCTTCAAAATATAGATATGGCGTGGTGTAAATTCAAAAGAACTACCTGAAGGCAGCAGAGAGAATCAGTTGTGCTCTTTTTTTTTTTGTTTTGTGGTTTTGTTTTTGTTTTTTTTTTTAAATAAGAAGTGTTTTGCCATTCAGAGCTGGTGATCTGTGCTCATTGGTCAGTTCTGCATCCCACTCTACTGTAAGGATCCTGATCTTCTACATGATATTTTTTTTTTTTTAATAAAATACATTTCTTGGCTCTTTTACCCTCAGAGTGCTAAATCATATCTCTACAAGATTCAGGGAGTCTCCATTTCATAGGTATTTTTCGCTTTCTGAGGTCACTGGTGCTCTGTGGAATTTCCTGTGCATCAGGTACAACGTGTGAGGAGAGAGAAGGTTCAATAAGAAGTAAAAAGACAGGACTAGAAAAACAGATCATATCTAAACGGGGAGCTTGAGCATATAGGTAGGAGGCTGAAATAAGTAATAGGAAAGAAGAACTATTCCTTAACAGAAAGTTTGTCAAACTTTTCTGTGCAGCATTGGCTACTAAGAATGGGGTTTTCTTCCTGATGCTTTTTTGTCTTACAGTTTTATGATGTGGCAGCTGATGACAGGCACTCAGGATAAGCATAGATATTCTGGCAGACATTCCAGGCCTTATTGGAAAATCTCCTTTGGATCAGAGTACTTGGGAAGTCACAGAGATATCAGTGTTTGGATTAGAAAGCTTGGTGAGATTCCCAGTTCTGTAAGATGAGTTGGGTAGAATGTGCATTCCAGTCTGCCATTTACATCAGAGCCTGGGGAATTCAGTGATGTAAGAGCAGCAGGAAACATGTATACTGTTACACAGGCTGTTTTCTATCACAAGTTCACGTTGCAAATTAGCCTCAGCTACACGTGTCAGCATTTGCGTTAAATTGGATCACAGTGTTGGGGAAAGAAGAGGATGGAAGAATAACGGCAATAGGCCAGGGGATTTGTGGAGCCAAAACCTTTAGCCAGATATTGGACACATGAAAGCAATACTGTATTTGACAGACAAAATGTTGTGCAAGTCTAATTTCTGGAACGTGCATTTCAAGCCTCTAAAAGAATGCATTAAGCATTTTCAAAAAGCTAGAAAGCAGCTCTGATGACACAGAAGACTCAATTCATTTCAGTATCATACCATAAAGAGGCAGGATTTATGTCCAGTTAGGGTGAAGTGCTGTTCCTAAAGAATGTACAGTTTTCATTTTCTAGCCTTGCACTGATCACTTGAATTCTGCCTAATGTCAATCTTTGTAAAAAAATTAGGCATGTAGGTACAGGACCAATTCAGGCTGCCTGTTTTCAAGCTAATCTTAAAGGTGTCTAAAGTCTCTGCCTCTGTTTCACATTCCAGAGTGGCCCAGATTTGCAAGTTCTAGAATAACTTAGCCAGAAAACGAAACGATCTGTTCAGGCTAGAAGAGACAAAACATCTACAGCAGCAAAACAGCTTTGCTCATGTGCTGTCCTCCTGAGGCAATTTGCATATCTGAAGGGAAGAGTGCCAGAAAATGCCAGTTATGACGACAGTTGTAACACAGACAGCTATTGTTTTCGGAGATCTTCCTCCTGACCGTAGCAATTTGCAAGTTAACATGGGCTATGCGGAAACTCATGCAAAGTGAACATGGAATTTTCTTTATATCCAATTATCTATCATTCCTCAAATCATTCAGGATTTCTTTCATTGACTGGATAATAGGATATTCAAACCGTATTTTTAGCCTAGGAGTATTAGTAAATAGGGTAATTAGGAAAGTATGAGAAAATAATGTTCCTGTCTAGTTTTGATTTATTTAAGGATTTGAATTTGATTTCAGCAGTTCTGTATTTTTGGCTTCAAGTAACAGAACACTCAAAAAGTCACCTACTCTGTCACGCATTTAGCTGCCTTGAACAAGTCTTATGCCAGCAGTTATTTCAGGGTCAGAAGTGAAACTGCAACAGGAAATCAGTTTCAGAAGGTATATGTTTTATCTTGCTTTGTTTGGAACTTCTCCATGTTCTGTAAACCACTCTACTTTGTGTGCTGTGACATAACCATAAGTTTAAAACTGCTTTTTAAAATGGAGAAGAAAAGCTTCAAGCGTCAGGTTGGTGCTAAACTCAACAATGACAGTTTTATACTCAGATATGACCTAATTTCCCACTTGTTTGGAAAATAAGTCAGTTAATTTTTGTGTTTTTACCACTTTCGGTTTGGCCTCAGCTTTTGACTTTGAGCAAACATTTTATCTGATGTTAAGGATCTGAAAGAATTTCTGCTCTGTATTCCAGGTTTGAAACTGGGAATGGAGAGGGACGCATATGTCATGATTGCAGAAAAAGGAGAGAAGCTGTACCAAATGATGATGAGCAAGAAAGTGAACCTTATCAAAGACAGGAGGAGAAAATTAAGTACTGTTCCCAAGTGCTTTCTTGGCAAGTAAGTGTCATTTGAATTGAAAAGGCCCTTTCATACCAATTAAAAGAATGGACTCTGGGTATGGCGTTGTGAGGTCAGATCAGATGTGCTTTGATGCAGCTTAATTGAAAAGGCCATAACCCCCATTACAGTTGTGACTTATTAGAATTAATCATTGATTTCTGTGTTACACCATACACCGGCTGGACAGTGACAGCTCATTCTGTTGTACAGTAACTCATAACAGCTGTTTCAAATCAGCAAAAGGAGCAAGAAAAAGGACCTTAACTCCCACAAGCTCATGGCTGTTGGTGGCCTAACCTGTACCCTCTTTTGTATACAAGGAAATGCTGCTTACCAGGTGATGTTTAAATCCAGCAGAACTGTCATGTCTCAGGATTGAATTTAGACGTTTCCTGTTTGTTAGTGTAACAGACACAAATGAAATGTTGTTCATCCGGAGACCTCATGCATTTGTTAGGAGTTTAGGGCTTTACTGGCAGGAAAACACCTCTTTCATGCAGGCTAGATATTATAAAATAATTGTTAAAAATGACAACGTGTGAGGCAGGAGAAGAGAGACCTCATGGGCAAATCAAATCAGAGATTAGATATGGTAGGATTGAGGCTGTTGCAAGGAAATGTCCTGCGTGGCACACGGAGACACAGTAGTTGACCTGAGAAGACTTTTCTGCCTCAGCTGTTTATGATTGAAATTATCAGCTGTGGGAAGAAAAAGGGTTCTGAGAGGCAGATTATCCATTCATTATATACACACCCACCCACTCATCCCTCCACACACTCAGCCTTTCACACACTCATCCCTCCAACCCCACCCACCCATACCTGATTGTGCTGGATTCAAACTGAAACCTTTAAGCTCTGATTTTTGGAGGCATGATACAGAATTTCCTATTTTCCCTGAAACAGAAAGTACCAGATCAGAAATGTATGTTTCTCCAGTGCTGATACGTAAGAGTCTGTTGTGGATTCCCAAATGTTTTGCTTAATCTGAAGTCTCACGTGGGATTTCCTGCTACTCATTTTTATTTTAAAATAATCTATTTTCTTAAATGCTTCCCAATCTCTCCTGCTCGTTGCCCTCACCCAGCCACCTCACGTTCCAGTAGGGAGGACCTAACTTTGCCAGTGGGTAACTGAGCCCTGACTGAGGTACCTACAGGTATCTTGATGTGACAAAAGCATTATTTCTGCTGATGTTCTGCAGATGTCTTTTCAACTGTCACTTGGTACAGTCCTGTGCAACTCAGCTGACTGCAACTCGGTCAGTACAATCCACTCATGACTCACAGACTTTTCATATAATTCCTGGGGCTTCCCTGAACAATGCATATTGGCTGTGACCTATTATTTTTTCAGACATTCCTGCCTAAGGGAGTCACTATTAACTGTGCTGAGATGGACTTAGTGGTTTTCTGCTACATGCAGCTGAGAGTAACACTAAGGACCAAAAAATAATTTTTCCCTTGGCCTTTGGTTATCAGATAGCATCTAATAATTCAACAGATAAATGTGTTTGCAGAAAAAAGAAGCATGAACTAATCTTAATGTCTTCAGAAATATCACATGCAATTTTTTGTAAGGCTGTTTATTGAACTTACCTTCAGCGACTGACTTGCTTGAGTGCAAATCCACTTTCCTAGGCACTCCTGAGGTGTACTGGCATTTAGGCATGTGACTGGTGATACAACGGGAAAACTGTGTGTTGGAGCCAATATATGTAAACGACAGCCTTGCCATGCTGCTTTTCAGCACTGCAGTAAACTGTGTTGAGCTTGGAATAGAGAGGATCTATCAACCTCAGGAGATTCCAAACACATCTGATCAGATTGCACATGCCTGGACAGGTTGGATTTTCCTGTGTCTGTCCTAAGTAGAAACACAGCTGTTCCAGGCCCCCTAATTTCAGAGGTATAGTTGGGAGATGGTGTCCTGACTTGCATGTTAGCCCTGGGGAGTGAGGGTACTCTCTGTTATGCTGGAGAACTGCTTAGGACAAGGTGAGGAAACAAATCAAACTTTGCCGTCCACTTTTTTGAGCTGATGCTTTTTTAGCAACACTCCAGCATGTGCCTAAAAAACTTGGAATATTTCTGCATCATGCACTTTTCAGTGCTTATAAAGCCTTCAGAGAAAATGTTTACTGATTTTGCTTATGAATCAAATGCCACAGAAGTCTTAAAGAAGCTTTTAAGAAAACCACCCCATGGTTCTGAGCTTCAGGGCTGTGAGAGTGGCCTTATTTTCCTTTTTTCAGCTTGCAGTTTCAGACTTTAAGAAGACTGCCTTACGTTTACAATCCAAATAAACTCCAGGGACACAGTTTAAAATAAGAGAAGCAGGAATACTAACAGGGTAGCAGTGTTCTGCTCAAGTTTTGGGCGACTGTTTTAAGTGCTGAAACCTTCCATAGACCCATCACACTCAATGGAAAAATGTATAGCAGCTGTACGTAACATTGGCCAGCATGTCTGTGATGGGGTACTCCACGGTGTGTGCGTCTTGTATTCTCAGTAATGAGTGTGCAGGATCACTCCTG